GCACGACCCCCGGTGACATCAGGGGAGCCTATAGTTGGATTAGCATCAACAGGCTCCACCTACTGGTGAATAAACCCCCTTGTTTTAGACATCCAATGCCTAAGCCAATACCTTTTCACTGCTGTAATCAATAAAGTTGTGGCCTTTTATTGCCCATTAACCTTATATCATGTGTCCTTGTGTATTTATTTCACATCGCGGGGGTCGGGTCCTCGAACCACAAATTATTATTATAAAATGAAGAGAACAAGTCAACCATTCTGGGGAGACTACACAAAGCATAGCATGAAAAAAACAGTGATTAACATTAGAGCTGGGCGATATGTCGATATATTGTCCAAAACCGGTTTGAAATCAATATAATGATATCGGTTTCAGAAATTTTGACCCGGCGATCTATATTGAATTGTGGTGTGTGTTTATCCTATGCAAAAATCACAATGTGAGAGAAACCGTGAAGCCAGGCAATGCCTCTGCGTAGCTCCATCCTCATTTCAGACATCGTGATATATTGTGACGGTTAACTGGTGATATGTCACGATGTTGTCCCCCAGCCCTACCGTTTGTCTCTGCATAGTTCCATCCTTATTTAAGTCATTGTGATATTTTGCGATGGTTAGCTTCTGCATGGATATCAAGTGTTCTACCATAGGTCTAAAGTCCCTTTCTGTAGGCATCAAGCCTTTAATAGCTGCATGTCAAGTGTCCCTTCTGTTTTTTCCAATAATTTTCATTAATTTATCCCAAATATCTTAAACACAATACAGCTTAACAATATTATTCTCCTCTAAATCTATATCTTATCTGAGTTAACTTCCCTCCACCCCTCTTCTGGCTTCTCTACATTGCTCTTGCTTAAGTGTGATTACTATATATACATTCTATAAGTGTCTATAATTCATTAATAAATTGTCTATAATTCCTTAGTAATTTTTTGTATTATACTTTTGTATTATACTTTATAATAATTCCTTATTATAAATCAGCATTACATCTTGTGGTCTAACCAAATGTTTACAATAAACGTTATGAGTTTTATTTCAGTCCTGTGAGTGTCTTTATTTATGTACAGTTTTCTCTAAGTATACCATAATTTTGGACCATTCTTTTTGGAATTTCTCATCGTCCTGCTGTCGGATTCTTCCAGTTAGCCTTGCTATTTCTGCATACTCCAATACTTTCTGTTGCCATTCTTCAATTGTCAGGATATCCTGTTGTATCCATCTCTGTGCGAGGAGTAGTCTTCCTGCTGTTGTGGCATACAGGAAGAATTTCTGATCTTCCTTTTTAATGTCCTCTCCAACCATTCCTAGCAAAAATGCCTCCGGTTTTTTATAAAAGGTTTACCTAAATATCTTTTTTAACTCATTATATACACTATCCCCAAAAGTCTTCACCTTGTCGCACAACCACCACATGTGGAGAAAAATTCCCTCTTTTACCGTGCAATTCCACCAGTTCTTATTTTTCATTTTGTATATCTTTGCTAGTTTGGTGGGTGTTAAGTACTCAAGTGTCCCTTCCAGATCAGCCTTCCCCAGCTTCTGTTTTGAACTACAACCCCCATTAGGTCCGGCCAACTTTGTCAAAGAGAGTTGAGCTCCCAGCCTGCTGCCTTTACAGCTAAATTACCAGGCGAAAGGAGTCAACTCAAAGAGCAGTTTAGCAAGCATAGTTCAAGGTAATTTGCTCCATTTATAAAGAGAAAGATTCCATTGTTGTTATTATCATTATTAAAAAATAAATAAAATACCCGGCTGTTAGCTTAATATGAAGAAATGGGATTTATTTGAAGAAAAGCAATACAGAAAAAAAACTGAAAGGCAGCAGCTGGTTTCTATTGTTTGGGTGGAACAACATAGTCAGTATAATTAAACTGTAATGCCTTCTGTAATGTAGTATTTCTGTGTTCCAAACACAAGTGTTCTTTAGATTAAGGCTGCCAATGGCCTTTTGATGAAATCTCCTGTATATTTCTATCTCTCTGGATATGTATGCAAAATTATAACATGAAGGCAATTCAAGCACTGTAGAACAGACTTCGCATGTGAATTTTCTCCAAAATCTAATATTAATGAAACCTGGTAGATGGCAGTGTTGGATTGTTGATGAAGGAGGCTGAAAAAACACCCGCTCTCCCCCAAACACCCATATCTTATCTTTACTGGGATTTTAAATGTGTTTATTATCCATTGTTTTCTGAAAAGGTGTCACAAAAGCTTTGTCAGGAATTAATTTAGCAAATTGCTAAAGGTATAAAAACAAATGTTTCTTTCAGTACATCAGGAGCAGCAACCCAGCCGAGGAGGCAATAAGGCAATTTGGTGCATCGGTTTTCGCTGTAAATGAGGTAGGGGTGTGTTTGTGCGAAACCCAAACTGGTATCACTCTTTTCGAGGAGGGCATCTGATGAGAGATGTCAAACAGAGGTGACCAAAGATGTTGTTTCTGAGCCAATTCACAAACTGCAAATTAAATAGTCTCCGGGTCCAGATGGCATTCACTTGAGAGTTCCTAAAGAACTCATATGTGAAATGGCTGAGTTTTAAAGGAAATAAAAACCCGATTTATCCTTAAAACCAGCCTCCTCAACGGAATGGAGACAAAATAACTTCTGCCCCAGGAAAATTGGTGGAAAGAATGATTGACGCTGCAATGGTTAAACGTAAAGGCCTGGTTCATAAACCATGGTTTATTAAACCATGGCTCAAGGTTATGTGTGCACCCAGCCCAGCAGTTTAACTATGGCTAAAGGTTGCTCATCAACCAAAGTTCGTAATTGGTCAACATTAACTGTAGCTTTGTTTTACATGCAAACTTGACTTCTGCCTTAGCTGTGGTTAAGGAACAATCACTGCTGAAGCGCTACAGAATTGTGGGTGGCAAGTTGCATCAGGCATTCACACACTCAGCATGACCTGCATATATTCTGGGGGCTGCTAACAGTCAACAGCCATCCTTGGAGATCACTTGTAGCTGAGTAAGATTGTCTTCCATGAACACGGCCTTAACAGTGAGTCCGTAAGTGACTCTGGAGGCCAATTCTGGATCCACACGTCCTTCCACAGTGGGGACATAGATTCCCGGGTGGGAGTTGATCATGGTGAGGGTTTGCCAAGCTTGCCTTCCTCTTAGCATATTTCTCCCTTTTGTCCTGAGTTCGTTCTTCTTCAAAGTCCATGACGCCTTTGGTAAAGGCTGTTTTCCAATCGGAGCGTTCGCAGGACAGTGTTCCCCAATTTTCTGTGCTTATACTGCAATTTTAAGATTAGCTTTGAGAGCCTCTTTAAACCTCTTTTGTTGTCCACCAGCTGTTCGCTTTCCATAATTAAGTTGGAACTAGAGTAGCTGCTTTGGAAGATGATAATCAGGCATCCGAACCACATGACCAGTCCAACGAAGTTGGTGTTGAAGAATCATTGCTTTGACACTGGTGATCTTTGCTTCTTCCAGTACTTGCTATCTCCATCTTATCCCCATCCTGAGTAAACATAAGGACATTTGTCTGAATGCTACTCCCTACTAACAACCAACTGATTAATAAACTTAGATTGAATTGTCTGAACCAGGGGCAGTGCAAAAGAAGATGTTAACAATTTGTTGTTGTTGCTTAGTTGTTTAGTCGTGTCCGACTCTTCGTGACCCCATGGACCAGAGCATGCCAGGCACTCCTGTCTTCCACTGCCTCACGCAGTTTGGTCAAACTCATGTTGGTAGCTTCGAGAACACTGTCCAACCATCTTGTCCTCTGTCGTCCCTTCTCCTTGTGCCTTCAATCTTTCTTAACATCAGGGTCTTTTCCAGGGAGTCGAGTCTTCTCATGAGGTGGCCAAAGTATTGGAGCCTAAGCTTCAGGATCTGCCTGTTGTTTTTGAGTTTTCTTGGCAGGGATACTGAAGTGGCTTGCCGGTTCCTGCTCCAGGTGGATCACTATGACCTATCTGTCTTGGGTGGCCCTGCACGGCATAGCTCATAGCTTCTCTGAATTATTCAAGCCCCTTCGCCACGACAAGGCAGTGGTGCATGAAGGAGGATGACAAGTTTTTGAATTTGTGATGTTGCCAATTCACAAATTCAAAAACTTGTCATATGGCTTAATTTCTTAAGAAGAGGTGTAGCGCTAATCTTGGCCCATCTTACATGGAAGCTCTTCTCTTGTCCTAGGATGCACAGTGGCAGCAGCAGGTCCTGGTGAGATATCGCTGAACTCTCACAAAGTCTCATGAGATTTCAGTGAGATCTCACGAGATTTTGTTTCGATATCGCTAGAAATTGGCACCAACACCAGCAGCGGGGCAGGCAGAGCACCTGCAGTAGTGTCACCTCAAGGTTTTCTGGTGGCCCTGGCAGGTGCCTTACCACTGAACAAGGATCTTTCCCCTGCCAAGACAGAAATATTTCACGCACAGGTCTCCACCTTTCCCTTTCCAGTGTGCCTGGCATCTTTCCTTGAAGGCAGCTTTATGTAATTGCTTAGTGGAGGTTTATGGAGGTCTTCGCCTCGAATCCATGAATAGGATTGCAGAGATGAAAATCCTCCTTGTACAGGGTCTGACAATATGAGAGAATGTTCCTAAACAAATGGTGCTAAACAAGGAAATGATGCAGCAAGGAAATGAAGCATCTGTCCTTCGATACATAATGATGCTGTTGAGTAACGTGTGCAATTAAAGAGTTGTTTTTATGCACAACTGGGATTGTGTCATACATAAATCTGCATGCCGGTTGTGAATTCTTGATTGCTGCAACAAAACTGAAAGCTAGATGGAGACTTGTTGAACATCTGTTTTGCAGTATTAATTCTGTCTCCACCGTGCTATTTAATCCCCGTACCCTCCATCTCTCCAGCAAATGATAACCGTGGCAAAGATATTCGGTAGAAGAAATGGGACAGCGTGTATATATGCAGCTTTATTTCATATGATTTACCAGATTTCTTTTCTTTTTCTTTTTAAAGTACTGCAGACAATGGTCACAATGCAGCTCAGCTCAGCTCTCTCCCGTTGACACTAGTGAAATACCAATTTATCTTAGTGGATAAACAAGGAGACTTCAGTTATGCAAATGGGAGCTCCACCACAAATGATTGAAGTCCCATAAGTCTGTAGAAGTCCATTGCCACCGCCATCAGTGGGAAGCCTGCACATGCCCTGGATTCCATGACACAGCACATGATAACAAATGTTTCACCAGGGTTGGATCTACACAAAGGGGAAAAACCCAGCTATAAGTAAGTCATATTTATATATGAAGGAGCGTCTCCACCTCCATCGTTCTGCCTGGACACTAGGGTCCAGTGCCAAGGGCCTTCTGGTGGTTCCCTCGCTGCGAGAAGCCAAGTTACAGGGAAGCAGGCAGAGGGCCTTCTCGGTAGTGGCGCCCGCCCTGTGGAACGCCCTCCCACCAGATGTCAAAGAGAAAAACAACTACCAGACTTTTAGAAGACATCTGAAGGCAGCCCTGTTTAGGGAAGCTTTTAATGTTTAATAGATTATTGTTTTTTAATAGTCTGTTGGAAGCCGCCCAGAGTGGCTGGGGAAGCCCAGCCAGATGGTTGGGATATAAATAATAAATTATTATTATTATCATTATCATTATTAATTGTTATAGCAACATAAAAAAACCCTCCATGTAAACTCACACAGAGAAAGTTTTGTGCTCTACAGGGCCATGTGGTGTCACATGTGTGTAACACAGTTATAGTGTTGTAACATGGCTAATGTAGTTGAGTCTCAGGATTCATTGAAAATCATGTTCCATTGGGTATATTCATTCCCGTCAACACACATGGGACCCTGGGCTCTTGTCCCAAGGAATAAAGGGGCTGGAAGGATCACAGGAATTACGTGTACAGGCCAGTGATTGAGCATATGCCTGTGCTGCCTAGGGTAGGCATGCTTCCGAGGGGCATGGGCGCGCGCTCCCAAGGCGCACGGAGGGTGCTCTCCCAGGCGCAGGACAGCCATGCACGCACCCACCCACCAATCCCGCTTCCTTCCTCTCCCCTTCCCGCTCACTTGCCTCCTTCCCATCCTCTCCCCTGCCTGCCTGCCTCCTTCAGCCAGGAGCATGGGGCAACAGCGCACCACCCACCCATGACTCCCGCACCTACTGCCAGCCATCAGGGGAAGGGGGGAGCTGCTGCGCCATGCTCCCAGCTGAAGGAACTGGCTCGCGGTAGGCGTGGGAGTCTGAGTTGTGGGCAGAACACCAAATGTCACCCCCGCTCAGGGATGTCACCCGGAGCGATGCGCCCCCCGCACCCACCTTCCTCCACCAGTGGTACAGGCTGATCCATAGAGCTGATTCTTATGTGACCGTTGATGTCCCAAGGCGTTCATGCTGTCCTGTAAAGAGGAACCACATGAGATGGGGGAAACGACACGGTTCCTTCCTATGCTAGCATCACCTCCACTGGCATGACTGACGCATAAAGGAATCATGCTGTTTAGCTGACCATCTTGCTGTACTTAACAAGAGGGGGGGAAAGCATGATACAGTATGTGTTGTTAGTATCCATACTGTATTTGTTAGAAAATGTATTTTAAAAAGAATACATTGTATTGGGGGAAAGAAAACCCATGTAATGTAATGTAACAGCTGCAAAATCTTGTGATTCCAATTAAGGTCACAGAAACATCAAATCATTGTGTTGTTAATTTGTTAACTCCCTTGAAAAGTGTGAGTGTATGTGTTTTAGGTAAGGATAGGAGAAATGGGAGGGGATGCCTGGGGTGCTTTCGTCTAACCACTGAGCCTAAGGCTTGCTGATCAGAAGGTCGGCGGTTCGAATCCCTGTGATGGGGTGAGCTCCTGTTGTTTGGTCCCTGCTCCTGCCCACCTAGCAGTTTGAAAGCACGTCAAAGTGCAAGTAGAGAAATAGGTACCGCTCCAGCGGGAAGGTAAATGGTATTTCCGTGCACTGCTCTGGTTTGCCAGAAGCGGCGTAGTCATGCTGGCCACATGACTGTCTGTGGACAAATGCTGGCTCCCTCAGCCAGTAATGCGAGATGAGCGCCGCAACCCCAGAGTCATTCATGACTAGATGGTCAGGGGTACCTTTACCTTTAGGAGAGATGGGAGTTTTCTTTTTTGGTTAGTGTGCAGACTCCAAGGACACGCTGCCCTGAGGAGTTGGTGAAGACAGGCCAGCTATAATTTACAGACTGCTTCAAAGGAGTTTTAGAAGCAAGAAGCAAGAAGACCCTCTCTTGGGCTCAAGGGAGAGAAATGCGTCGCCGTGGACTTGATATGTTTATGACACTGCTTGTTAATAGTTGCCATCCTGCAAGTGAAAAGGTCATCTTCAAAGTCTTGTGTGTGGAATCTATTTCATCACTAGGGTTTGGGGATGAAACTGTTGCATCATTCTACATGACTCAGAAAAAGAACCATCATGTGTGAATTGAACTGGGAACATATGAAGGCAGCTGCATAGGATGGAATCTAGTTTTAAAGCATTGCATTGATTCCCAATTTTTAAACTTGATCATGGACACCCTTAAGACCTGGCCACCACATGCTTGGTGTCAGAGCATATTAAAACAAGCTAGTAAGTGTACACCTCTCAGGTATGTCTGGCTGAATTGCTATTTGTGGTCCTAATAAGCTTTGATGTTTTCAATAGGCTATTTGCCATGATCTCAATATGTCTTTCCTAAGGGACGCGGGTGGCGCTGTGATCTAAACCACTGAGCCTCTTGGGCTTGCCGATCAGAAGGTCGGCGGTTAGAATCCGTGCGTTGGGGTGAGCTCCCATTGCTCTGTCCCAGCTCCTGCCAACCTAGCAGTTCGAAAGCACACCAGTGCAAGCAGATAAATAGGCACCACTGCAGCGGGAAGGTAAATGGCATTTCCATGTGCTCTGCTTTCCGTCACGGTGTCCCATTGTGCCAGAAGCAGTTGCTGGCCACATGACCTGGAAGCTGTCTGTGGACAATTGCCGGCTCCCTTGGCCTGAAAGCAAGATGAGTGCCACACCCCATAGTTGCCTTTGACCAGACTTAACCATCCAGGGGTCCTTTTGATCCAATATGCATGACTTTTCGCTTGCACATGAATGTCTAGTCAGGGTTTTTGGGGGGTTTTGGCCATTGCAGACATTGAAATTTATGACTGTTCTGGGAGGTGGCTTTTCCATCCTTCGTATCGGCCTAGAAAGTGGCTGGACCACGAGTCTGCGTAGCTCTGCTCCTGATGGTGCATTTGGTTTTTCTACCATGCTGCAGTGGACATCGCTTAGCTGAACGTGGATAAAATAAAAACCTTTAGTGTTCAGACAGGGTGTTCAGAAACCTGACAACATTTCTTGCATAATTATAAACATTAGACATTTTTCACTTGTTTTTCCCATGGCTGACCCAGTGAATCATTTCTAATGCAGGTTTGCTTCTGAGTGATTTCTGTGACCGTCTGCTTAATATTTAGAAGGAAATGAGTTAGTAAGTGCAAAGAGGGGGAAAATACAGCCTGCCCACTTACACAGAATAAAACAGAACTTGGAAGTGATCAGGGACTACTTGAGTGCCTCTAAGAATTCATCAAGGCAGACTTTCTGCCTAATGAACCAGCCGTTGCCATAAATTAAAGGAGCAATATTTTTCCAGCTAGTTTTTGTTTCAAGCAGAGGACAAAAAAGATGTTTGTTACTGTGATGAATTCATTTCATCCAGATCTGTTTTCCTCTCTTCAAAAGCATACTTTTGTCATTGCTTTTTTATTATTATTATTGTCAACTTCTAAAGGCTTGTAGATTTAAGCAGCTTTATTTATACCAAGCTAGACCAACGGTTCATTTAACTCATAACATTTTTATCTGACTAGCTGTAGACAGTGTTAGAAACTGGGATATGAAAGCTAGCAGAAAAATGGCACTTTAAATTTAGGTGGAATATACACACATATTAAAAACACACTGTGAAAATGCTTTTTTAAAAAAGCATTTTGAAAAACACATTGATTTTTTAATAGCTCAGTCTCGCCATCTAGTGTCACTTTAAAAGGTAAAGGGACCCCTGACCATTAGGTCCAGTTGTGGCTGACTCTGGGGTTGCAGCACTCATCTCGCTTTATTGGCCGAGGGAGCTGGCGTACAGCTTCCGGGTCATGTGGCCAGCATGACTAAGCCACTTCTGGTGAACCAGAGCGGTGCACGGAAACACCGTTTACCTTCCCACCGGAGTGGTACCTATTTATCTACTTGCACTTTGACGTGCTTTCGAATTGCTAGGTTGGCAGGAGCTGGGACCGAGCAAGGGGAGCTCACCCCGTAGTGGGGATTCGAACCACCGACCTTCTGATTGGCAAGTCCTAGGCTCTGTGGTTTAGCCCACAGTGTCACCCACGTCCCTACAACACATTTAAAATGTTTTAGTTGCAGCTGTATAGTGTGCTTTTGAACTGCTAGGTTGGCAGGAGCTGGGGCAGAGCAACAGAAGCTCACCCCATCGTGTGGATTTTAACTGCTGACCTTCCAATTGGCAAGCCCAAGATGCCCAGTGGTTTGTTTTTTTTATAACAAGTTATAATAGACATATCCAAAAACATATCCTTATTCCTCCCCATTTTTCCTCCCCCCCTCCCTCCCACAGAACCCCCCCCCCCGAATTCCCTCAGTTCCAGTCTTTGGTTTCTCCAATAATGCTGTTTTCTGCATGTTACAAAGTTGTATAGATCCTCAAACTGTTTAGCTGATTATTATCAGTAAAAAAATTGTGAATGTTTATTCAAAACCTGCCAAGGAGTCCAGTTCGCTTTGTTGCAAGTGGCCCAGTGGTTTAGACCACAGCGCCACCCATGTAAATAGGTATAAATAGATGTAAATAGATGCATAAGCCATTATTTCTTAAACCAAGACAGTCTCTGCCATTTTGCAATTCTCCAAAGGAACACAGACCCTGTGTGAGTGCCTGGAAATCCATGGACTCTTGCAACTGCTTGGCAGAGAGATGGGAAGGCACCCAGCTTTTGTAACAATAGTTTGTTTCTTCATCAAGGAAAGGTCATTAGCAGAGAGTCTGTTTTGCATGCGGAAGACCCAAGTTAAATCTCCAGCATCTTCAGGCAGGGCCGAGAAAGACCTCAGCCTGTAACCCTGCCACTCATTGTAGACAATCTTGCTCTAGGTCATGGACCAGTGGTCCTTACGTGAGGATCCTTGTGTCTGGCTGTTTCCTGTGTTCCTAGAATGCTCATGGTGGCAAACTTGGAGAACTTCTTTAGAAAAAGATGCTCTCCAATATGACAACTCCAGTTTATAACAGTGCTAAGACGATGCCAGTGGGAAAACAACGCTTTCGAAACCAACCACTGTTAATATCTATGTTATTGTAATAATTAGATTAAATTGGGCAAGGGATGTTTTGCCGAACAGCCGAGCTGTGAATGTCTGGCTGCATTTAGAGGTGTTGTAAATCAGCCTTGCGATGAGAATGGAGGGGGCACCAAAGGGAAGCCAAGCTTGAGCTCTGGTTTTATGAAGACAATGAAATCACACTTCATTAAACCCATGGTCTGTTAGACAAGCGGCATTTGGGGGCATTGACTGGAGAGTGACTTAATTCCAACTCTTTGCATTGCAGTAGGAGAGTTCCAGAGCCATCTTGATTCAGCAAAGAAGCACGGTGCTGTGATGATGTCTTTACTGTTTGAATAGATTAATAGGTCCCCTGCATTATTCTACATGTCAGGAGTTGTGAAAAATAGAGATTAAGGGTTGTAGTTAACACTTCCATTTCACCAATCTCCATCCTCTCCTTTCTTCTGTATCCTCCCTGGACCCTCTTGGTTGAGTTACCCTGTGCAGCAGCTTTTTGGAGGGTGCTGGAGATGAGAGGAAGGGGAAGTTCCAAGTGGAATATCTCTTCTGCAGCATTGAATACAACACTAATTAATGCTACTGGTTTATCCGTAAGCCCGCTTGAGTTATGTCAGTGATGAAAATTAATATTAGTGAAAATCATATATACCGTATTTTTTTGCTCTATAAGATGCACTTTTTCCCTCCTGAAAAGTAATGGGAAATGTGTGTGCGTCTTATGGAGCGAATGCAGGCTGCACAGCTATCCCAGAAGCCAGAACAGTGAGAGGGAGCGCTGGCTTAGCCCCTCTGTCCCTTCCCCCACCTCCTGGAAAAGCCCCCAAGAGCCGCACTCCCTTTAAAGAGCTGTTCGGAGCGTGTGTGCAGCTCTTGGGGGCTTTTCCCTGAAGAGGAAAAGGGGAAAAGCCTGCAAGGGCCGCACACACACTCCACACGGCTCTGCTCAGCGCTCCCTTTAAAGAATATTTTGTTCCTTGCATTCCCTCTCCAAAAACTAGGCGCGTCTTATGGTCAGGTGCGTCTTATGGAGCGAAAAATATGCTGTGCAGTAGTACCTCTGGTTACGTAACCAGGGGGTTACGTAAACTTTGGGATGCAAAAGCGGCAAACCCGGAAGTATTTTACCGGGTTTTGCCGTGCACACATGCGCAGAAGAGGTCCTCAAGTTGCGGAAATCTCAGGATCCGACCAGACCTCTGGAACAGATCCAGTCCACAACTGGAGGTACCACTGCGTGTGTGTCTGTGTGTGTGTGTAACACAATAGTGATAATTAGGGATGGCAGACTCTATCAGGGTTCTCATTTCTCCAATGGTAAAATCAGTTCTCTGCATTTTGAAGCAATTTGCAGTTCTTTATTTTTAAAAATACAAAATTTCAGTGTGAATTTTTCTTAATAAACATTTAATATGATTTTTCTGTCTAAAGTGCACATTCTTGTAAGCAATTCCCCCTGATATAAGGCATTTTAGTATTATTTTTACAAATATATTTCATTTGTATGCATCGTTCTCCCTGATGTATGCATTTTTGTAGACATTATTTGTTCGAGAATTACATATCCAATTACATATGGGAGAAGTGTGACTTTTGAAGGATAGCTGTGTTTCAGTTTGCATATTGTTTTAGAAAATGCTCATTTGACAGATCAAGCATTAAATATGCAGTGAATTGGATTTAATTGAAACAGAAATTTGTGTGTGGGATAGACACAGAATTTACTTTTTTTCCCCATTTCATTTGCATCCCCCTCCCCATTTCAATCTTACAACAACCATGTGAGGTAGGTTGGGGTGAGAGAGGATGACTGGTCCAAGGCTTGGGCTGACTCATGATGAGCTTTTGCCATGACTCTCAGTTCCCACCACTGTGGCCAGCTCCTTCCTCTGCTGCAAAATTTACTTGGCAGCAACTGCCATAATAAGAGGTCTTACCTTATTGCCAGTGCTTGGAATGAGCTAGTGTGGAATGAACTCATTCAGCTGGATAAAGTTCACTGACCTAGTTCAAAAATCTCCGAATTACACCTGAAAGTAATTTCCACAATGGCTGGGTGAACTAAAGGTGAATTGTTCTTTGAAGGATAAAAGTCTGAATAAGTTCTAATACATTTTCACAAAAATCCACCCCCTTGTTTCTCTAGTACAGGCATAGGCAAACTGGGCCCTCCAGATGTTTTGGGACTGCAACTCCCATCATCCCTAGCTAACAGGTCCAGTGGTCAGGGATGATGGGAATTGTAGTCTCAAAGCATCTGGAGGGCTGAGTTTGCCTATGCCTGCTCTAGCAGGAGGCTTCGACACTTAGCTTCCATGAGAAATAAAATAGAATTATGTATAATGGACCTCTATAAAGAAAGTTAGAAAGCAAAAGATGGAGGCAATATTCTCAGATTTATTAAGCAGATATGAAGATGTTGCTGTTGCTAATGTCTGGAACTAGTTCCTTTTAGAATAAGATGAATTTGAACTGCAATGAACTTTCCAAGAACTGTTTATTATTCCCTGGCACCTGAATGCTCAAATAGTTTCCAATCTCCTCTAAGAGTCCGCTTGATAGGAAGGGCAAGCACAGAACCCTGAGGCTTATTCATATCATGTTAAACCACTGTTTATTGCTGCATCCAAATGCAGCCAGTATAAAGGAATGACAAATTGTCTCAAATCCAAAGACATGCATTATATTGATTCTTGTCCAAATTTGCTTTTTGTGTTTCAATAAAATTCATGTCTAGTTTGAAAGCCATGCTCAGGAAGGCATAAGTAGCACAACTTTTCATAAACCTTTGTAATTACATTTCGGTTTTGTTTTTGTATCTTTCTTTGACCAGAATAATCAATCATCAGACTTTGATGTCACTGAATGAGAGAGAGAGAAAATCAGAAAGAAAACTTAACACAGCTAGTGACAACATCCAATTGCTTAAATTGTCCACACAAGTCTCTTTAATTTCTACCAGGATACCTTTGATCAGCACCATTTTCTCGGTAATAGCTGTAAATTTGCTATAACCAATAAATTTGGAACAGCTGTGAGTAACCATCAGGTATCATACTTCTTAGACAGACCTAGTTTTCAGTTCCAGTCTTTGTCATTATTTAATTTAATGACACATGTTATGGCCATAGTTCAGTAGGGGGGAAAAGAGTGAAACTTGCTTATTGTAACAAATATAAGACTTCTAATCAATATTCACTCAGCCATGTGTCTGTCTAATACAAATTAAATGGCACATCCTCTGAATCACATACATGAACCACAGTGTCCAATTTGTTTGCTATTAAATCAGAGCTGTTTTAGTGACTGATGGCTGGCATTATGGACATTGAGCTAAAGACAAATTTTCCCATTGGATATGTTGCACATCATTACAGGAAAATTCTTGAGGCATTAATAAGAGGGAAGAACTGTGCCTGTATTGCTTGATCATTTTATTTACTTTAAGAAGAAGAAGAAGAAAACACTTTCCAAATGTAGAATCCTGGCTGCAATGAAAGTTTTAGACCGTCTTCCTAGGAGGCACGGAAGTCTATTAATGATTCATCCTGCTTTAAATTATTATTGTTAGTGTTATTAATATTATTATTTAGATTTCCTATGTTCACCATACAGCTCCAGGCTGGGTTGCAACAATTTTAAAGTATGGTATTAACATCCATTAAAACAAATTACATAACTGAGAAATAGGGTGAGTTCTAAAATATATATCTCATGTGTCAAGGTTTGAGAGGCTGCAACATATAATAATAATAATAATAATAATAATAATAATAATAATAGTAATAGTAATAGTAATAATAATATTATTTATACCCCACCCATCTGGCTGGGTCTCCCCAGCCACTCTGGGCAGCTGAGAGTAAGTCCCATTGAAATTAATGGGACTTTCTTCTTGGTAAACACACAGAACTGCACTGTCAGTGGAGGTTTTCTATTAGCAAACTAACTTCACATCTCTTTCAAATATTGTTTATAATATATTCATTTAGGCATAGTCAATTGTATATTCATTTGTACTGGCCAGATTTTGTCTTTTTAAGCATTCACTTTCTTAAAAATGACAAAAAGCACATTAATCATCCACATGCAATGTTTATAGTAATTCAACAAATCTAACATCCCCCCCCCTCTCCAGAAAGGGTAATGAATCATTCAAATTTAATGTTAGGTAAAGTTTCTATAAATGCAAATGATTCAGTGTGCTGTTCTTTTTTGGGGGCTTTTATCCTGCAATGCCATGGTCAGACTACAGATAATTTTAAATACTTAAAGTAAAAAAAAATCTAATGAAACAGTGACAGTTGCCACCAATTACCATATTTTTCGCACCATAGGGCGCACCTGACCATAGGGCACACCTAGTTTTTAGACGGGGAAATCAATAAATAAAATCTCCCCCCCCCAGCCCCAAAGTGCAGCGTACCGGAGGGGTTGTAGCACAAGCCAATGCAGCGAGCGGGCTGGATCGCGCTGGCTGTTTTGGCTTCCTCTTTAGCCCCACACAACCTCTCCCTGCTGGGAGAGGCTGCGCAGGGCTAAAGAAGCCATAGCCCCGTGCAGCCTCTCCCTGCCGGAGGGGTTGCGCATGGCTATGGAACAAGCCAAGGCAGCCAGCGGGATGGATCCCACTCGCTGCTTTGGCTTCGTCTTTAGCCCCACGCAAACTCTCCCTGCCAGGAGAGGCTGTGTGGAGCTAAAGAAGCCGTAGCCTCGTGCAGCTTCTCCCTGCCACAGGGGTTGCGCGCGGCTATGGCACAAGGCTGCATTCGCTCCATAGGATGCACACACATTTCCCCTCAATTTTTGGAGGGGGAAAACTGCCTCCAATAGAGCGAAAAATACGGTATTCAATCAGGCAACTCATGTTTGCCCTTGCAGGTTGAAACCAAACTGGGCAAGCTGTGGCAATCAGTTGCTTGGCAGCACTTGCAAAGTCCAGCACACGATACCTTGCAAAGGGCTCTGCAGATGATGGAGAAAGCTTCTCCTCCTTCCGGAGGGGAGGGATTGTGAGCGGGAAACGATTCCCGTGTCACACAGGGGGTGTCCTGCCCCCTGCCCTATCATCGTCACTGGCGCGCCACGCCTCCCCGTTGGGCACCCAATCGGAAGACACCGCGGGGGCGTGGTTTAGCTGCTCAAATGCAGCCGCGCCAGCTCTCCTCGCCATTGTGCCCCTGTTTTCGCCACAAGTCACCCACCCACCACTCCCTGTAGGGCGTAGCTTCTTGCTTGACCTTGCTATGGACCCATGGTTGGTCGCCCTGGTTGCCCAGGGGGCCTGGTAGGAGTTTTTTCCAATTGGCGAATTGGCACCGGCCTCTTGGTTTTTTCCGCCTACCTCGTAGCAATCGTCACAACTTTCTTGGTATTTGGCGGTTAGGCATTGGAATGTGTTGTTGGTGTATGGAAGGGCAAGGTGTGGCCATCACCTACCCCTTCACTTATGGGTATTCCGTTAAAGGAATCCAGCAGTCGTGGATCTTGTCCGATGCCTGTGTGGCGGGGGGCCATGGCACAACCCTCGGTGACATCAGGGGAGAGCTTATAGTTGTATTTGCATCAACAGGCTCCACTGACTGGTGGTTAACCCTCTCCGAGTGGGTGGAGTCAAATTCTCTGAGGTCCAGTGCCTAAGCCAATACCTTCTCACATGCTGTAATCAATAAAGTTGTGGCCTTTTCTACCCCATTAACCTAATATACGGTGTCCACGTGTCTTTATTCCCCAAGCGGGGATCGGGTCCTCGAATCACAACCCTCTTTTGGTCAAGCCCTGCCTTTACCTGCCTCATATATGATGTCAGGTGTAGAGCAGGTGGGCATGACTTGGCCACAGTGGTTATGTTTGAGCACCACTCTTGGAAGCAGTATGCCTCTGAATGCCCCTTGTTGAGAATCAGACGCGTAGCGTGGGAGAAAAGGAGTGGTGGACCTGGGAGCAGAATTATGATGGGGCAGAACCAGGCATCCCGACGCCAGACTCCCTGATGAGCTCCTGCCGCTTTCTGGAGCCAAGGGAGGCAAGCTGCACCTGGGCTGGGCCTTCACCCTTTGGGGTTGGCGCCGTGAGGCGAGGCCAAGAGATGAGGGCTTGCCAGGCCTGTGAGGCATTGAGAATGGAGGCAGCATGGCCTGGGGAGTGCTGGGCACTGGTGGGAGCAGTGGCCGAGGCCCAGGCCAGGGAGGAGGAGGCTGTGGCAGAGGCCAAGCCATGGTTGGTGCTGATGCTGCAGACAGAGCAGTGGCACCTCCACTTGGCGCTCCTGGCCCTGGCCTTGCCAGCTGTGGGGGGCCATGGCCAGCGAGCACTGGCAGGGCATGTGAGGGCAGCCTCAAGCTGTCCCATTCCTGGTGCCCACTGTGGCGATCACACAGGGTCCCCAGACGTTTCACCGTCTATTGATCCCTGTGCCACCACTTTATTTCTCGCTGCCACCACCCAGGCCCTACCTGGTACAATACTGAGTCCTGTCAGGGTTAAATTGGAACATAAGCTTCTGTTTATTTATTGCAGTTTAACAAGTGTGTGGTTTCATAAACGGTATCGGTCAATTACAATCATGGGGTGCCTATCCAGTCCTATAACTTCCTCTACCTGCTCTCACTCACTAAACCACCTCTCAGATATTTACTTGTCTTCCTAGCCCCTAACTGTGCCTGACTCAGCTTATTTCGCTACACTAACTCAACCTACCCCCAGACTCTATCCCAATTCACTCCCACTTCAGCCAACCACCCAACTCCCAACAAATTCTCTCTTCGCCCCTCCCAGAGCTGGTTTTATAGTCCCTCTGACTCCACCCCCCTGGGTTCTGATTGGATAACCTGTTTAACTATTTCGCCTCCTGCACTTTCATATGTTAACGTCACACCCACCAACATGCCCCACCCACCTCACCTTGCTACTGCCACCTGAGTGCTGCCCGGCTTGGCTGAAAGGGAATGGTGTGGCTTCCACCCACTGAGGAGGGAGGCAGAGGAACGTGGGAAAGTGCCCAAGTGGGGAAGCCCTGCCGGCGCACGCTTCCACCTCAGCTGCCCAGTCCATCAGGGGGATTCAACACTTGCCCTGACCCGGGCACCAGCAAGCCACGCTATGCCACTGCTGTGAATCACAAGTAGGGCGAGTCCTGCTGTGTTCAGGTCCTTCTTACGGGCTTCCTGTAGGCATCTACTTAGGCATGTGGTCCCAAATATACCTGGAGATGATGGGGACTGAAACTGCATGCAAATCAGATGCTCTACCACTGAACTGTGGCTTCTGAACTCCGTTATCATATGTTACATGATATGATATCAAAATCCCAACAAGTGGAAGTAACATAAATGGGGCAGCACTGACAAGGGGGATGCTTTTCTAACGGGTAAGATAAATTCAGTGCAGAACGCTAAGGTATAGTAGGAAGAAAAATGCGCAAGCATTTGCAAACGGCTAGAATTTTAAGGACAATAATCCTTAGACAACTTCCAGATGTCTTTAGTGGAGACAACTTAGGTCAGACATGAACTACAGGTGCTTCCAATTGACACCAACATGATAAACTGCCAAGGCAGATGGGTCTTTAGCCTGCAGCTACATAGAAACCACATGGCTTTCTTATCAGAATACAGAAAACCTAAATTTGATGAAAGAAGCAATTAGAAGGCAAGGTAGGCAGATATGCATCCTTGACTCCAGAATCATCTGGCAATCTGCTCTGAGCTAGAAGCTTCATAACACAAGAAAAAATATATATAAATTTGCTAAATCCCCGATACTGGCTTAATGTAAAATGTGCCTGGATGGAGGAAAGACAGAAGTGCCCAACCTCTAACCCTCCTCCCTGCCCCAAATGTACTTGGAAGAAGTCACATTTGTCAGTTAAGTAAAACACACTTAGGACCCCAGGGATATAGGTAAGTTATGTGTGGGAGGGAGCTACAAGTTAGCAAAATCTTGAAAACACAGAAAGACGTGATCCATACAATTTGCCGTCATGCTTGATTTTCTTAGAGTAATGAGAAAATACCTGCAGGTTGTTCAAAGCCTGTGATTTGCTTATAAAACAAAGAATGGCCATCTGCCCATCTCTTTGTTGCTTTAAGGTTCATGGTCCCATCAGTTTCCTGCAGCCACAAAGAATTTTTTTCCCCAGGGTGGAAATTAAGAATTTCAAAGGTACCAAGAGCAAACATATGGCTATCTCTCTCACACCTTTTAAAAACATCTGGTCTCATTTAAAACTCACATTTTTAAATTCTCCAACTGCCTCTTTGAATTGACACCATCCACTTACATAATAATAATAATAATAATAATAATAATAATTTTTTTATTTATACCCCGCCCTCCCTGGCCAGAGCTGGGCTCAGGGCGGCCAACACCAATAAAATTACAATAAAACATAATAGGGGAAAACAAGCAAGCAAGCAAGCAAAAAAACCAGTTTATTAAAATACGGGTTAAAATACAATTTAAAATGCAGCCTCCTTTTAATAGTAGCCCATAAAGCAAAACCATTTGGGGAGGGAAACATAAAGGTCAGTCTGAGTCCAAACCAAAGGCCAGGCGGAACAGCTCTGTCTTGCAGGCCCTGCGGAAAGATGTCAAGTCCAGCAGAGCCCTAGTTTCTCGTGACAGAGCTTTCCACCAAGTCGGGGCCAGTACTGAAAAGGCCCCGGCCCTAGCTGAGACCAATCTAACCACCATGTGGCTTGGGACCTCCAAAGTGTTGTTATTTGTGGACCTTAATGTCCTCCGCGGGGCATACCAGGAGAGGTGGTCCCATAAGTAGACAAGATCAAGACATGAGATGTTTAGTGTCCTTTGCAGTTGACGTGCTAAGGGTCTTGATTAATGCCAATAACTATCTGTATCTCTACTTGCAGCTATGTCTTTCTGTCATGCCTAAGCGTATGGAGAATTAGCTGCTATCCCATCCTGCTTGGGAGAAGACTCAGCAACTCCAAATCTATGTCACTGGTGGGTCTCCCATTAGACCCATCCAACATGGCCACCACTAAGGTAGTAGTCTAGCAACACTGGCGGCGGCGGGGGGGGGGGAAATCACAGATTCCTTGCCCCTGCCCTAAAATGTAATTTAAGGCTGACGAATGAAGCAGCTCTTCTGGCATTAATATTTTGAAGCCCGTGGAGCTGACATCTCATTGGCTTTCAGGGATGAAGCTGGCTCCTTCATCGGAACCAGATGTGTGCCTATTTCCACGCTAGTTTTTGCTTTTACTCTTTCATGAGTGAACGCTTCGAGCATACTGTTGCCAGCTACCTTGTGAACTCATGGGGAGTAAAAGTGCAGCTGAAGTACAGAGCTGGACCAAGGCATTTTGCTCGCTGAGACAAAGGACCAGATGATCCCTTCTCCATCCCACATACCTGAAGGAAGCAGGCTATCTTAGAGGAGGCAGGATAGACCAAATGGTCAATCCTCCGGCACGTTGTCACCTCTCTGTGTACCCCAACAACTGTTGCCCGAGGTGGCCGCCTCGCAATGCAGTTAATTAACTGTCACCTTGGGGATTCCATCTCAGTGGATAGAATCAAATATCTCTGCTACCTCAAGCTGTTCCCCCAAAATTCAGCCCGTTGCCATGCAACAATGTCAGATACTGTACCAATTGTACTAGAGATCTTTCCTCTTGCTAAGAGAGCTGGTTAGCCAGTACCACTAATATATATATATATATATTGTGGGTGGTTGATAGACATCTCAAGAGTGTAGTGTGTTAAAAGATAACAATAGCATAATTATTCTAAACGAGACCATTTAATTGAAGTTCTTTTTATTGTCCATGGCCCCTGAGGGGTAAAGAGACTTTCCGATAACTCTTCCCCTTCACTTATTTTTGTATCATAAGCCAGAAGTAATATCTGATAATATTTGTCATGTAATCTTTCTCTTATCAAGCCTATAAGATTAAAAGTACTCGTATATCACTGCTGTCTTATCTGCTAAATTGGCAACATTGGAAGGGGAACAAACATTATATAATCTTCCCTATCAGTTTTAGTCATTCTTAAGCCACATTCTGTTTGAATATGAGGTTTCGGCTTGGCTCAAATCGACGTGCAGAGCACGTTCCAGAATTTTGCAAGAGAGAAGCCCAGGCACTCTCTCTCTCGGCAATCTTTTCCCCCTCATAAATGCTGCCTCATGAAATAAAATGCCTTCTAATAATTAAAGGATCCCCACCAGTGATTTTGTTGTGTGGGGTGGGGGAAACGTGCCGGTCAGGCAAGTGGGGTGATTTCTCTTCAGGTTGAACAACGTTATGATGAAAGCCAAAATGTTTTTTATCTTATGAAGATATTTAAACTTAATTGGGTAAAAAGAAATTAAACAACCCAACATAATTATAGCATGAACATAAATGGGTTCGGATCATTGGGGAAGATTGGATTCCCCCCTATGTGTGATATATTGCCGAGCACGCTTAGGAGAAAGAGGCTATCTCATGTGTAGCACATTATGGTAAGGCTTCATATATATATATATATATTTAAAATCATGTTATGTGCGATGTTAATGCATTGCTTTCAGTATCCAGAGACTTTTCAGGCTTCGGAAGAGTGTGGTTGCATATCATACTGTTAAACAGGGTGTGTTTTTTTGGTACTGTTTTAACACAGACCTGGTTCCATCTCCTCCCTCTCCTCTCCATTTGAACATCATGTTGCATAAGAATTAGGGACAAACATTACACCTCAGGCCCCTTCTACAATGCAAACCACCCACAAGAAAGGCAGTCTTGAAGCACAGAAGGGAGCAAATCCTTAACCCCTTTTTTGCCAGTTTCTCCCCCCCCCAAACTCCCTCCCCTGGCTGCTTTTATTCCCACCTGTGTTATGGTGCCATGCCTATCCCATGCAGTCTAGAGAAACTTCTAAGTGCCGACCAGAGAGGAATGGCAGACCAAGTTAATGGAATATGCAGAAATTGGGTCCTCCTTAAAGAGGGCACGTATTGCGGTGAGACCTGTAAAACTGACACCCTGTGTTATGGGTGGGTACGATTGGTCAGCCACAACACCCGATTGGTAGGTCCCTCGAAGCTGGGTACAATCTGGCTAATGGGACGCAGTCCAAACGGTTCAAGGGACCTATTTATGCCCATGCACATTACCCAGAGCTTCCTCCTTCAGCGCGTGCATTCGGAACACCTGCCAACCTCTCCCTATTTTTAGGGACACACCAACAGTGGATTTGTAAATTTGTAAGAGTGGATCTGTAAATTAAGTGAGTAGATAGAAGTGGCAAACTTAACTTCAATTATAAGATATCAATCAAATCAAAAGTTAAGAATGGAGTGGAAATATTTCAAAGATTATATGTCAAAATATTGTTCTAAATTTGACATGCTAATAGGCTTAGAATAAAAAATGTAAGCAATAAGAAAACTAATAAAGAAAGAAGGAAAAATCAGATTTTTTAAATAAAAAAATTATAGAATGCAAGGGGGGAAGGGTAGAAAGAAATATAAGGAAGTCGAATTGCTGTGGAGGGAAGTAGAGGGTGGGTGGTGGGTTTTATAATTAAGTGTATAATTATGCAACTGTTGTAATTTAGATATTATATTTTATGTGAGGGAATCATTGGGAATTTTGATTATTATGTATATATGTTAAGTTTCAATAAAGATCTTTGAAAAAAGAAAGAAAGAAATGTAGTAGATAAATACAGTGGTACCTCGGGTTTCATACGCTTCAGGTTACAGACTCCACTAACCCAGAAATAGTGCTTCAGGTTAAGAACTTTGCTTCAGGATGAGAACAGAAATCATGCTCCGGCAGTGCGGCAGCAGCAGGAGGCCCCATTAGCTAAAGTGGTGCTTCAGGTTAAGAACAGTTTCAGGTTAAGAACGGATCTCCGGAACGAATTAAATACTTAACTCGAGGTACCACTGTAGTTGAGCTACGTGCTCCTTCAGTTATTCACATGTAACATTCAATGAGTGTACAGTCTGTGTACCTATGTGGACAATAGTTGAGCTGTAGAAAGCAATGGGTGGAGACTCTTTCACGCATACCTATGTAGACACAGCTTGCACCTGTGTCTAGTGTCATGTGAGAATCAGCCTATTGTGGATTTTCATTCCTAATGTACAACCGAAGACAAAGTGCAGACAAGGTGCAGTGCACCAAGGTGTTTGCAAAACTTACTCCAGAGTAAGGGAAATAAGACAAATGCTATAGGGGAAGCAAGACTGATGCAGTGATGAAAGTTTGACAGAGGAAGCACCCTCATCTGTCAAGTCAAGTCATAAAACAGGGGTACATGCTAACCCCCTTGACAGGCTGCTTAAGGTTATTGGACATGAAAGCGTGTTCTCCCTCATGGAGAGCGCGTGTTGCGGTGGGGTCTGCCAGGCCCCCCCTCTGTTGCCAGGCAGGATTACTAAGGAAGCCTGTGGCAACGATTGGATGGCTGGGTTGCTGGGCTAAATCCTACGTTGCAGTTTGGTGGGAGGGATCAGATGTTTTAAATCCTGTGAACACAGCTTGGAGCTTTCTCTTTCACTGAGTGCACCGGATCACCTGCCCACCCGCCCTAATTTTAGGGGTTTCACGTTGACCTTGCTATGCCTGTCATGGGATCGTCTGCCGTTGGGGCAGGGGCCTGGCAGGAATTTTGTCCATCTGGCTGATTGACTGGTGCCATTTGGTTTTTGCCTACTGCGCAGCAAATAGTCACAACTTGTAAGGTTGTGTTTAGGCATTGGTTATCAGTTGGTTGGAGGAGGGGTTAGGATTGGCTGGGCCTGCCCCTCCAACGCTGCTGCGGAAAGGGAATTCCGTTAAAGGAATCCAGGGGCTTGCCATCTTTTCATCCGAATCCCTGGAATGGGGCTAGGGCCGGCAAGCCCCGGGGAGCATGCGGGGAGACGTGAGTCCTGTGGCTCAGCTCCATTTCTCCCCAATATTGTTTTCCCTTACTGGCTTTCGGTGGTGCCCGGAAGTCAGTTCTGTTCCCAGGCGGAGGGACAGATAGTCTTAACCAATGCCCAAACAACCACTCACATTTATGTATTTCAATTAAGTTGTGGCCAAAATTATGCCAAAAACCTTAAACAAAAGTTATGTGTGTGTTGTGAGTTATTTGAAGGGTGGCTTGGGGACCTCAACACGCAACTACTTTCCCCTTTGATCTAGTGAAGTCCTTGAACGTAGGCCAATTGAGTCAGCTGACTTCAATTGGATTAAAACCACGTACCTCCTTTTACCTTGCAGCTCTTTCCAGAATCAAGTTCTGTCAATGCCGAGTCGCTTAAATTCACATAATTTTCTTTCTCTGGATTAGGTTGTGGGTAAGATCAGTTTTACCTCCAACCTTGAATAACCAAAAATGGAAAGCAAAATGGAAGCTCTAGGGCTATGTCATAAAAGAAAATGTGACTTTTTAGCCATCCTAGACTGGTTCTTATGTCCCAGGGATACCAAGCAGTATATTCCAATTTTCAACTCCAGGTAACAATCACCCACCCTTTTCTATTCTGTCTCTTCCCCAAGAGGGATAATCTCAAAAGGCAAGAGGACTTCATTTCATTTTACTACTGACTCAGAGGCATTTTGAATCTCTTTCCGATAGCATAACTGTAATGACATTACTCCCCAAGCTCCATAAGATAATGTCCAACATGAAGACAATTCCAAGGAGATATTTCCCCCATCCCCGATACAAGCACGGATCGTTGCTAATCCTGTTAACCAGATGATTAAAATGACAAGAACATCTGTAAATCAAATTTGCAAGCAGCCTTGCAGTGCCTGGCAAACTTTGCTTTTTTTTATGGATTCAATGGCACTGTGATTATTTGGCAAATTAGTGTTCTTCAATGGATGTGTGCAGATTCTTCAATAATCATTCTTTTGCTACTTTATTATTTTCACTTCAGCTAAGTGCAAGTTTCTTCATCATTACCTGATAGGGTAATTCTGAAATGGTACACCTTTGGTACAACTGGGTTAGACTGATTCCAACTTCCTTGATTTTAGCTCTTGAAATAAGTACAAGCTCTTAAGATTGCACCTACTGCTAAGGACAAGCACAACATGACTCCCCATCCAGAGAATAACAGCCAAGACACAATATTTGTGGGTCAAATCAGGCCGCAACTTTATTGACTACAGATGTAAGACGTTTGGCATAGGCATTGGGGATAACCATTTGACTTCTGGCCCACCTGCCAGAAGTGAACCATTGTTGGGTCAATCCAGAAGGTGTGGGCTTATGACTTGCATCAAATAGTAACACCCTGTTGAAGTGAGGGTAGATGCCTTTCTTTGGAAATTAAACCAATGTTCTGACTTTAACATTCAAAAACTTTGCTTGCAGAACCTTATAGATGAATTAAAACATAATATGTACAGTCACATGCTTCTCCAAGCATGGGCTTACAGTTTCTTCTTCTAACTTCTGAACAACTCTATTTTCCTCTCTTCCCAGAGCTCAGCACCCAGCCTTTTGTATTTCAACTGGGCCATGCC